GGAAGTCATTGGCATTATGACGCCGTTATTACTTCATTACGAAGGGAATTATGATGGATGGAACCTATATTTATTGCCAGTCGACTCCTCTGTATGTCACTAATTTCACTGAAGTTCATCGGTCTTTTCAAAGACTATGCTCATTTTGCTGTGATCATTGTTGTAGAGAGAAATCATCTATTGTCATTTGGAGTTCACTAGCTCAGTGATAGTTCAGTCTTTTTGAAAAGTTTTCTCTACAGTTAGGCATTATTACATACAAGTTTCTGAAACGAATACTTGTACTAAGGAGAAATGGAATATAGATGATAATCTTGTTAGTTCTAAAGATTCAGAAACATCAATATCCAAGAAAATAAACTTATATTTTGGATGAGGAAAAACTGTAGACAAGACTTCAGCTGCATATAAAAATATCAAGAATTAATCATATTTTTTTGTAAGAATGCAGCACAAAATTTTGTAGGCAGTCTTTTTTTAGGTTATAATGTTGAGAACAAAAAATATGTGTCGTCCATCATAACTTTCTCTTTGTAATTAAGTAATAACGGTATCATAATGCCAATGAATTTCAGCATATACAGTAGTCGAGATCGGCTAAGGCGAAGACTTGTATTCACTACTGTACATAGTACACTGGAATCAATAAGATACTTTTCTTAAATTTTTAAATCGATTTTTTAATGTTGTCCAAAAATATCTATCATTTAAATATATTGTATTTGTTTTCATTAATTTTTTAAGTTTATTATATAAAGCAAATCCATCAGATAAACCATCAGGTAATTGATAAGTAATAATACCTTCTTGTGCTTTCGATATCCATTCAATATGTTGCTGACATTCATCAGACGAAAATTGGCTATCGGTCGGTATTATACGATTAATTGTTTCGGATTTTTTTCCAATTAATCCAGTATGATTTGTTGATGTTAATTATTCGATCGTAGATTATCATTATCACCGAGTGTCATATTTGATTTATTACCATCACGCATATTTGAATGAGCAGTAGATTTAGAAATAGTCGGTGGTATCGATATAGAATCTAGCACATTAGTACGAAGTGGCCAACGCATGGCCAATTCACCTATAAAACCCGACAAAAATATTCATTTGACAGTAAAAACATAAAAATAGAGACATACGATGAAGTTCATTACGATGTTTTTCAAAATGTTCGGGAAACTGTGTATGTGATTGTTTAGTTGTAGTTGTAGGTAGTAAATTTTCAAATGATTTACATTCATTCTCGATCATTTTAAGATAAGAAGAAGAAGAAGAAAACAAAGTATATATTTACAACTAATTATCAATTGCATTTTTTTTTCTTCCCGCTTTGCTTTGTAACGAATGACATTTTTTTGTTCGTGTCTGCTTCCTTAATACAACGAAATATTTGTGACACGTTAAACAAATGAGTATGAAATCAAAAATACAGTATACGTTTCATTGAAATATGAGCTATGTTAGACAAAACGAAATATACCCATCTTTTGTTTGACTTTGATTCTTTACAAAGTTTAGTTTTTTGAATAAATTCTTCTAACATTAACATATGTAAAAATGTTGGCTCTTTCAGTTGACTATTAATTAAAAAATAATTAGCGAATATTTCTCTAACCACACGAAAAAAAAACATAACCAAAAAATCTTAGGATAAACTCTACGACACGAACCGTATCTATGGTGAAATGTTCAATACGAGTGGACTAAAAAAACTTTCTCTTAAAACTGGTTTTCTAGAAATTCAGAAGAAGGATTTGTATTATTTGGAATTAGTTTTGAATTTCTCGTTTAGAAAAAACTTTGGATAGAGATTTTGTAGCCTCAAGAGTTATCCACAGAACCCACTATTTAGTTTTCAAAAATGCTACCTTTATTCGAAGTTGTTTCAAACTAAAATGCATTAAGTAAAAGCCGATGTCTTTTTTTATGTCAGATCACTAATGTTAGGTTTTTTTATTGACAATTCCTCTGAACAAAAGTTTCTAGTGCTGATTTTTTCAGGGTATCTAGAAAGACTAATTGATCAAATCGATAAATAATTTTCCAAGTAAATTGAACAAGATTTTCATTTAACTTAATAATTCCATTACTTGTTTCAAGAGAACGTAGATTAGGTACTAATTGAGCTATACTTTTTTACTAAACATTATCCTTTTGCCTGGGTTCTTTTTTTCAGACAGGAAGTTTCCATTCTCGACTACCTATATCATCAGTTGGTTCTTGTCATAATTTATTATTTTCTTATAATGGTCAATATTTAATTGGATTATTCTATGAAATAACATCAAATTTAAATCCTTATGCTATTAAAATTTGGTCAACAAATGATTATACAATTCATAAGAATTTACATCCAATAAAATGTTCAATAGCAATAACATCTCAACATTTATCTATACTTTATATGGCTGGTAAACAAAAATATGGTCGTGGTATATTACTTGGTTTACTTGATATTGATACATGTAATCTTATACATGAACTCAAATCAGATCCTGATACATCAATTGGTGATGAAATTCAACGAATTATTTTAACAAAAAATGAAATCTACGCACTTATTGTATGTACAGAACATACAAGTACATATACATGTTTTGTTATATACAAATTAGAAACACAAATAAATCTAAATAATGAACAATCATCATTAATATCACATACAATGAATAATTGTACAATGATTTTAACGAGATTTGATTCTGATCCAAACAATACATTTTCAATAAATGATACCAATAATAATGATCAATATATGTTAACTATATTACGTACAAATGAAATTCTTATATGGAAATTAAATAATGAAGAAATTTTATTTAATTATAATTTTCATCATTGAAATTCTAATAATAATAATAATAGTATACAACAAATACTTAATTGTCAAATGAATAATAATCGTTTATTAATACTTGCTGAACAAGGTTTAATACATATATAGGATAGAATATTTATGACAGGTCAATTTTCATTAATTGCAACTATATCTGATTCATTAGTATGTTAGAAAATTTTATTTCGAATTTCTCATCAAATTATTAATTATGACAATTGGGAACCGGGCAGTTTCTGGGAGTGTGGATGCACGTTTTCGTGAACCCGGATCCAAACCCGAGATTTTTTTCCATCAATACTAGCACCTTTCGCGTACATGAACAAGTAGAGAATCAAGATGTTAGCTATTTATTTGCTATTCTCAACGTACAGTTATATCTTGTTGCTATATCTCTCACCTGTGGAGCAGTGCGTCCACAAAAACGTGTAGCTGGACCCGGATCCAACAAAAAAAAATAAAACTTTGGGTTCCAGTCCGGGTCCCGCAGCTCCCCTAGTAGAAGGTGTACGTCTATGATCAGAAGTTATCTATCGTGACTCAGCCAGTGAAAGAAATTTCCTCATCGTTACAGAGTTATTACTAAGTCAAGCTTGATTATTTAATACTTAAAATCGAGTTTAAGCGATTGCTGAAATCTGGGTGGCTAAAAGCTGTTTCGTTTCAATTAATTGAATTTGATCAGAGATTTCTCGATTACTGTGTAAGGAAAAAAAATATTGTTGTCCAAACTTATCAGGGGAAGGAGGGACTAACAGTGATTCTTTGATTTAAAAAATGATTTGTCTCTAAGTGATATATCTATAAAACAATCTTCCTGTGATTAACATCGTATTTGACATTTTAAATTCCACATGAATTGCTCTCTAATAGGTTTTTCTTTTTTTAACAAGAAACAATAGCTTCATAAAAGAAAAAGATATGCATATATTTTTGACACGAGTATTAGCACAAATGTTTAAATTCATTGTATTCAAAAGACATATTATCCTATGTAAGTCTTTGAAATAAAAGTAATCGACAAGAATATATAGAATGAAAACTTATGAAATATCATCTATAGGTTTCCAATGTCCATGATTTTTAAATGAATGTTATCTGATAATATTTATTTATAGATATGAATACATATTAAATAGAAAAATCTCTGAGTTCATTCAATCATATTTGTAAATAATAACAAATAAATGAGTTAATCTTCATCATTGAACTTGATATTATTATTTCGCGTATGAATATGATAAAATAAATGGAAACACTTGAAACCATTTAGTAAATAATGATGTTTAAGAAACCAAAAAAGAAATATTGATTAAGTGCTTTTGAGTCGAGACTATATACGCAAATTAGTCTTGAAAAGAGTTCGAACTTTTAGTCTATTACTGCAGCAATAAGATAACGATCTAGACTTTTTGGTTACATAGTTTCGATTCAAAAAGCGATTTCTCAATTGCGAGATATTTATAAGAGAAATACTATCACAAAAGATTGCTGATAATGCACTTTTTGTATTATCCAGATACGATTTTATTTTTGGAAATTGATTTTTTTTTTCAAATGCATTTATGTATGTTTAATGATGATTTTAAACAGAAATTCTATACTTTGTCTTTTTTTTTGTGTGGTCTGTAAAAATAATAATTTATCCAGAAATTATTTTAATATCAACATTCATCAATTTTTTATCTATCTTGTATTTTGACATTGAAATAATTTTGTAAATCAAATTAACAAGACTTTTTTAGTTGATTATTATTCAACTTCTATTAGATAATTAGTATATACAACAGATTTTACTATTTCGATTTTGATTGAATTCAAATCGATGATTTGTTCAATCAAATAAAACAGAATCCTTTATATATATGAACATAATGATTGAAATTTTCAATTGCTTTTTTTTTTGAATAACTTATTATTGAAAAAATTTAATGATCTAATTTATATTAGACTTGATAAATTATTCTATTTGATCGAAGTAAGAATATGATCTGTCAATTGATACTAATCATGAAGTTGATATGTTATTTTAGTGCATTTTTTTATTCGCTTGTATGTTTCTTTTATAGAAAAGAGACAATGTCAATATGGTAGATTCTATTTTTTTTCTGCTTGTGATTTATTATTTAACAAACTTGTAGAAAACT